CTGCTCGGCCACGTCCGACTGCATTCGTTCGTAGATCCCCAGCGCTTTGTTGAGGCGGCCCTCCGCAGCCCGAAGGTCGTGGAAGGCACGGTTGACCTGCTGCTCCAAGGGCGCTGGGGGTTTGACTGCACTGCTGGCTTGAACACGCTCCAGCTCCTTGCGCCAAACGGCTGCCCCTTGAAGATCCCCGACGGAGGTGAGGGTCTCAACGAGCAGCTTGCACTTTGCCTCGTCAGGGGGCTGCACTGGGGCCGGAGGAGCACCAGAGGGCTTGCCGTCATGCATGAACTGAGGCCCAGGGCGCAGAGCCAGGCCGCCACCCCGCCCTTGACCAGGATCAAAGAAGTGACCAGGCGGGCCCGACGTGGAACTCTGCTGGTGGGCCCAGACCCCCCCGAGCGGCGCCGACCCGTAGTCGAACTTCGGCATCGGGCGGTACCCCCAGCAATGCTTGCACTGGTCCCAGTTCTCCTTGTTCTTCCGACAACCGCAACCGGGGCAGGTCCAGCTGGCGGCCGACCGACCACCTTGGCGCCACCCTCCATGCGACTTCTGCCATGGCCATCCGTCGCTCTCGCGCAGCTGGCGCTGAGAGGCTGGCTTGGACATGGCTCCCCGAGACTCTGAAAGGGAGGAATCGTGATGACTAAACGAGCCAATGACCCGCTACAGCAATGTGCCGTTCTGAAGTCTGCTGTAGCAAGCCCAATCTGGGCCAGAACGGCTATGCTTGAGCCAAAATGGCTACGGGGGGAGGAGGAGGAGGAGGAGGAGGAGGAGGAGGAGGAGCATCGTTGTCGCTCCGTCCATTTTCTATCTTGCTCTCATCCTGTCCCGCGGGCGTCGAATCTATGCCCTAGACCCGAGAAAGAAAGAAAAGGAGAAGGAGGAGGAGGAGGGGGAGGAGGAGGAGGAGGAGGCGGCGGAGGAGGAGGAGACTCCTATAGGATTCCTATAAGATTCGCAGAGGCCCTATAGGATTCCTCTAGGACTGCTATAGGATTCCTATAGGTTTCGTAAAGGCCCTCTAGGATTATTATGGGATTCCTGTAGGGCTCCTATAGGGTTCGTAGAGGCCCTATAGGATTCCCAAAGGATTCCTATAGGAATCGGGGAAGCCCTGTAGGATTCCCATCGGGTTCCTGTAGGATTCCCGTATGATTCGTAGAGGCCCTATGGGATTCCCATAGGATTCCTATAGGGTTCCCATAGGCATCAGGCCCTATAGGATTCCTATAAGATTCCAACTGGATTCCTATAGGATCCGTAGAGGCCCTCTAGGATTCCCATAGGAATCCTATAGGATCCTTATGGGATTCGTAGAGGCCCTTTTGGATTCCTCTGGGCTTCCTATGGGATTCCTATAGGCTTCGTAGAGGCCCTATAGGATTCCCGAAGGATTCCTATCAGATCCAAATATGATTCGTAGAGGCCCTATGGGATTCCCAAAGGATTCCTATGTGACTCCCATCGGACTCCTAAAAGCCCTATAGGATTCCCATGGGATTCCTATGGGATGCCCATAGGAATCCTAAAGGCCCTATAAGTTTCCTACAGGCTTCCTGTAGGACTCCTATCGGATTCGTAAACGCCCTGACGGATTCCCATAGGATCCCTGTGGATGTCCCATATGATTCGTTAAGGCCCTATAGGATTCCTATTAGATGCCCGTGGGATTCCCATAGGACTCGTAAAGGCCCTATCGGATTCCTGTGGGATTCCTATAGGATTCCTATAAGGTTCGCAAGGGCCCTATAGGATTCCCACCGGAATCCTATAGGATTCCGGATACCGTGCGTTGCGTTTCGTTGCGTTGCGCCAGGGGGGGGGCTGGGGCGGGCGCCAGTGAATGGTTTCGTCAACAGCAACAACAACCACACCACCACCACCACCAACAACAGCAACACCCACACCACCAACAACACCAACACCACCAACCACAACAGCAGCAACAACGACACCACAACCAACAACAATAATACCAACAACCAAACCAACAACAGCAGCAACAGTAACAATACCAGTAACAGTAACAACAACACCAACACCACCACCACCACCACCACCACCACCACCAACAACAACAACAACAACAACAACAACAACGACAACGACGACGAAGACGACGACAACAACAACACCAACAACAACACTCAGTTTGAAGCTTGTTCGCTCTTATCTGCTCGCGTGCTAGTCTATCACAAACCCTCGATACCCGCCCTCTTCGTCTTCGACCGTACCACCTTAGGGGTATACCTCTCTTACCTGCAACGTGTTTTTCGTGCAGTCCCTAAGGCAGGGGAAGAGAGGACGGATTGAAGGACGGGAAAAGGGGAGGAAGGAGGATGGAGCACGAGAGAGAGTAACAGGAGGGGAGGGGGGCTAGGAGCAGAAAACACGTGGCAGAACCAGACGGGCAGGTCGGACGGGTAGACCCTAACGGGTGGGTCGGGAAGGCGGGCCCAGGCGGCCAGATCGAGCAGGCGGGTTGTTGAAGCATGCGTCCTGCATGAATCTCGAGGAAATCTCGAGCGATAGCGCGATTCCCAAATAAAAAACCCTGAGGAAATCCACAACGAGAGTATGATTCCTGAGTGTTGAGGGCGACGCGTCTGAATAAATAGTGGAAGTCCCACGCGAGAGCGCGATTCCTGCGTACATTGTGAGGAAATCCCGCGCGACAACACGATTTGTGAATAAAGTGTGAGGAAGTATCAGGCGGAATTGTTGTTGTATCTCGGGGGCCAGGAGCGTAGCTTAGTGAACCCACCGCTTTCCAATATAAAAAAAACAGGTTGCGAGCCCCCGGAAGGACACAATGTGCCCCGAGGGGGCGGGGTCAAGGCTAATTATTCGTCAATAGTGGAAGTTCGAGAACAACAACAGCAGCAGCAACAACACCAACACCACCACCACCACTACCACCAACAACAACACCAACAACGACAGCATGACAAGACAAACAACAACAGCAATGACAACACCAACAGCACCACCAACAACAACAGCCACACCACCACCAACAACAGCAATACAAACAGCAGCAACCACAATAATTTTAAGATTGTTGGTTCTTGCTGGCACGCGTGACATTCAGGGTCAAGCCAACGCTCGAGCGGGAGCCTCGTTTTCAGAGAAAGTGCAACTGGTGTCGAGGCGAGAGAGCGCGGAACCGCTTCCGAACATCAGCAATAATCATCCTCTAGAAATTAGTATTCAACAACAACGCCACCACCACCAACAACAACCCCAACACCACCAACACCACCAACAACAAACACCACCAACACCAACAGCCAGCATCAACAAACAACAACAGTCATTTCAAGACTGTTCGCTCCTATCTGCCCACGTGCCAATCAATACGTATACCCCAAACCCTCGGTACCCGCCCTCGTCGTCTTCGATCGTACCCCCCTTACGTGCATTTAGTGCAGCCCCTAAAACAAGGGAAGAGAAGACGGGTGGAAGGGGGAGGGAGAAGAATGAAGCACGAGAGAAATTAGCAGGAGCGGGGCAAGGAGCAGGTAACAAGTGGTAGAACCAGACGGGCAGATCGGGTGGGCAGACCCATGACGGGCAGGTCGGGAAGGCGGGCCCAGGCGACCAGGTAGAGCAGGCGGGTTGCTGAAGCGTGCGTCCTGCATGAATCGCGAGAAAGTCTCGAACGATAGCGCGATTCCCAAGTAAATCGTGAGAAAAGCCAAAGCGAGAGCGTGATTCCTGTGCGCCAAGGGCGCATAGTCTGAATTAACTGAAAGCAAGTCCCACGCGAGAGCGCGATTCGAATACAAAGTGTGAGGAAGTCCCGCGCGAGAGCGCGATTGGATAATAAGCTGTAAGGAAGTATCAGGCGGAAGCCGCTGTTGTTATAAATCGGGGGCCAACAGCACAGTTTGAGCCCCGTGACTCTCCCTGCTATAAAAAACAGGGTGCGAGCCCCAGGGGAAGCCCTTCAATTGGAGAAAAAAAAAAGCATGGTCCCCAGAGGGGGGGGGGGAATTCGCACAAGGGGAGTCCGTATAGAACAAGGTGAGGCCGAGTCCTGGCAAAGGCCCGCCGAGGTCGGATGGCAGCTCCGAACGGCCAGGGGGAGGCGAGCACGTAGACTGCCGCCCGAAGAGCCGATGACCAGCCTCGAACACCAGGTAACGGCAACGATTGCATGTACGCGATGTCCTTCGAACACACAATCAAATAGCACACCGACACACGGCCCCTTTGCTATCACACCGTACCGAACTACAGTCGAGCTCCGTGCTGCGCGAGGAGCGGTCGACTATCTTCCGCGGGCTGCCCACTTCTGCAGAAGAGCATCTCTGGCCCAGGCATCACAGCGCCCCGACTGCAGGTGATTAGCCATCGTTCCGAAGGAGTGCGTAAACACATGAACTAGTGAGGCGCTTACAATAGATGAGGTTCCCGCCCGCTCCCTGAGGAGAAAGGGCAAACGGAAACAAGTGAATTATCGAAACACTTTTTGATTCGCGGGTCGAGAGCGCACCTCTTCCGGTCGAGGCTGAATTATCGAAGCACGAATGGCGCCGAAAGTCGATTGCTCGAAGTCCATCCCAGAGCCCCTCCCGGACTCCAGCCCCACCAGCTCGTCGGGTTGCCCCCGGGGCGCTGCCCCGAAAGAGTGCTCCCGAGGCCGAGTGAGCCTTCCCGCCTCCTCCTCCTCCTCCTCCTCCTCCTTCTTGTCCCCCTTCTCCTCGACGCTCGACCGAAGGTCCCTCCAGGATTAAATTCCGCCCATTCTGAGGCGGATCCGGTCGCGAAGAAGACGAGGAACGTCAAGGAGGCCCACAAGAAAGAGCGAGAGAACGCCCGCGGAGCATCGATCCTCGAACTTGGGAACTCCGCTGAACCTCGGAGAGCGAGAGGGGGAGGAGGAGGAGGAGGAGAAGGAGGAGGAGGAGGAGGAGGAGGAGGAAGCTAGATCCTCCTGACAGCAGATGTGGCGCTCTTGGGACGCCTCGAGCGCGCGCGCGCGTTCGCACCTGGAGCTTCCTGCAGTTCTGCTGCTGCGTCAGAAGCACCTCGATCTGCCCCGACCGCTGGGCCACACCGTCCTGGGGGGGAGGGGGGGCGCGGCTCCTGGAGAAAGAGGTCCTCCTACATCCTCGCTCCTCCTCCTCCTCCTCCTCCTCCTCCTCCTCCTCCTCCTCCTCCTCCTCCTCCTCACGCACCAGGCCTGCGCGCTTTTCTCCAGAAGAACTAACGACGGACATCCTGTTGTGATCCGCCATACAAGGGATCGATGTGCATTCCACTCAAGTGGAGCCGGACGTGCACGACTTCCCAAATGCGATTGGTAGGAACATGAACGCGCCCAAGAAACTCCCAAGCGGCCCGAAGAGGCCCCCAGCAGGCCCCAAAGAGGATCCCCAGAGGGCCCCGAAGAAGCCTCCAACAGGACTCACCCGTTGACTTCATCACTCTTCTGCCGGTCGGCGGGCTGGCGTAAACCACTTGACTATGAACGAGGAACCGCTGGATGGATCGGTCACGCGGCATACCTAGCCAAGCCCAACTGGTGATGGAATGGACAAGACATGGAGCTCAGGATAGAAGTTCAAACACTCCTGTGGGGGTCTTTCACCATGTTCGGAATATTGCCATCTCGTCCTCGCGCCCTGCCCGCCTCTTCCGACGAGAACTGGAATGGGCGGGCGATGAACGCGAAGCGTCTTGAACGTGAACGGGGGCCCTTCTGGCCCGGGCAGGCTGGGGCCATATGATGCCGCGAACCCCAGCCGTTCAGCACAGCTATAGCTCCCAAACCCGAGTCAAAGGGGGGGGATGGAATGGAATGGATGCGGCCCTAGAGAGGGCAAGGCGGCGTGCCGCCTCAAACGCCGTGGCGACGAGGGCACCACGACGGCCACACCTGCCCCCTAGCCACCTGCTGCCTGAGGCCAGTAGGAAACTCGAAACCAGCGGGGGGGGGGAAGCTACATATGGCTCCCAAACCCGCGTCGGCCGGGAGTGATCGAAAAGGGCTGATCCGGTACCAAGGACACGTGAGACTCGGATTCGGGGGACTCGGGTTGGCCTGACAGGGCCATCATGGAAATGACGAGACCCAATCCGGTATTTGACGCGAGCTCCCGCTGCACGCATCCCACGAAAACTAGACCGTCCAGATCCAGGACGCGCTCGTTACAAAGCGTCGGCAAACCCGAGCTCCAGCGTACACGAGTTTACGTGTCCCCGATGTTTTAGGGCCAACCCGTATAGTAAGCACGCACGAAAAGAGTGCGAGGGCCTTGGAAGGCCATGTCGACACCTCGCCAGCAGGACGCGGCCTGCGAGAGCGGCTAAGGATGGGCCGTCACACAGCGTCGGCAAACCCGAGTTCTGGCGGACACGAGTCTTACGTTGCCCCGACGCTGGCGCTGACCCCCGTGACGAGCAGGATGGGGCCAAGACGAAGAGAAATCCGTTCCAAAGAGCGTTCCAGAAGGATCGCAGAGCGTTCCAGAACGCTCCCCAGCCCGCAGGCGGTCGCGGAGGTCCACGGTGCGGCCTCCTCCCTCCTCCCTCCTCCTGCTCCTGCGCCTGCTCCTTTCGGCGGCGAGCGAGGGGGGGGGGGGAAGCGAGAAGGAGAAAGCCTCCTGAGAAGGCTCGGAAGTCCCCCCTGGCGTTCTCCGAGGAGTTCTCTACAAGCCTTCCACAGGAGAACTTCTCAGAAGGCGCGAGGGCGTCTGAGAAGTCCCGCCGCCTTCTGAGAGGGCCATCTCCTTCTCGCTTCCCCCCCCCCGCTCGCCGCCGATCCCGGGCCCCAGCCCTCCTCCACCGCTCGTCACCCCTCTGCCCCCGCGAGGTCCTGGGCGCCGCGGGTGCCCCGAGGCGGAGGCCAGCGAAGTCTTCGAGTTGGGGATCGACTACAGAATCGACCCACCCCATAATGAATTCTCTCGTCGCACCTAGGGAACATAATCCGAATTCCCAAAAGGTTTATGAACATTTTAGGCTTTCGTCGTAGATTCGATGGGTGAAATCAATTTTGGGGTAAGTGCATTCTGTAGTTGATCCCCTACTCGAAGTCTCGAGGTAGGCCAACGCTGTGGCCGGAAGCGGAGGAGGTGCCGAGAGGAGGGGGGGCGGCCTCCTGTGCGGCAATGGGCGGTGGCCCCGGTGGGCGCTCCAGTTCCCGGCGCAGCAGCGGAGCCAACCGTCGGGAAAGCATTGACTACCTACCAAACCACGCCAACCCAACCCGAAGACCCGAATTCCGGGTTGGGGAAAGTACGGGTTCCACACGTGATTTTTCCATGTTCCCCGACGCCCCCCCCCTCGGAATGAACGGCAAATTGGGGCCGTCGGGTTGGGTTGGGTGGTTTGGTGGGTGGTGATGTACTGGTGGCGGGAGGGGTGACTTTAGCAGGGACCGACCGTCCGGGCATTCCTATAGGCCTACCACGAGATTTGCTTAGAATCTAAGAATTTCTGATAACGAAACAATGTTCTAAGAAAAGTTCGTGCAAACCCTCAACAATATCTTATGATATTATGTTGTGACCCTCTAGGCAAGGCAGGACGCTTCGCCACTGCTTGAGAACTGGGTGGAATCGCGAAATCGGCTCGAATCGGGAACGGATCGGATCGCACCTGGGTCGTCGCAGGGCCGGCTCGGTTCGCAACATGTGGATTCGCGGATGGGGGCCCGGTCCCTGCGGGCTGGAGAGAGAAGCGGGACGTGCCGGATCGGATCGGATCGAGATCCGAATCGACGATTGTGAATCTGGAGACCTCCTAGATGGTGTCGGAGTAGTTGGGGTCGGAGGATTGCACCGCATCGCCAATGCATCGGCGATGCATCAACGACATCGCCGATGCATCGGCGCCGTCGGCGTGGAGAAAATCGGATCGGGCTCCACATCGAGCCGCATCGCCGATGCATCGTCGATGCAGCACGAGCCTCCGACCCCATCTACTCGGACCCCATCTAGGAGGCCTAGAGAATCCGATCGGATCGAAGCGACCAGCCCTGGTGGCAGGATGGGGCGAACAAGACAATGACCACAAACCTCCGTCGTGGTTCGTGTGCGAGCGGGCGAAAATTCCAGAGGACCTGAGCACGTACTCCTCAGATGGCGCCGAGACACCACATGACGTCCAGGAGAGCGGGAATCCGCGACATCCCTGCCACATCTCCGAACCAACTGATATACCGACTGAGAGCCGCCGACGCCACATCTGCACTTCGGACGACAACATGGACTACGCATTTTGACATGAGTCGACCTATCGTCGCAGGAGTTGGCGGCGAGCGGGTGGGGGGGAAGCGAGAAGGAGAAGGCCCTCTCAGAAGGCGGCGGGACTTCTCAGAAGCCCTCGCGCCTTCTGAGAAATTGTTCTGTGTCTCCGGGGAAGGCTTTCAGAGAACGCCTCGGAGAACGCCAGGGGGGACTTCCGAGCCTTTTCAGAAGGCTTTCTCCTTCTCGCGTCCCCCCCCTCGCTCGCCGCGGAAAGCGAGCTCCCAGCTCTGCCCAGGGAACTCACTCGCTGCGCGTCAGGAAGCCCTGGGACCTGCTCTGCAGCAGGGAGAAGTCGGCGCCGTTCAGCACCGCCTCGGAGGAGGAGGAGGGGAAGGAGGAGGAGGAGGAGGAGGAGGAGGAGGAGGAGGAGGAGGAGGAGGAGGAGGGAGGCCGCCCGAACGGGGCCCAAAAGCACACGGGGGTCGGAGGATCGCACCGCGTCGCCAAGGCGGCCGACCCGCGGAGGGCAAGGCGCAGGGGCTGCAGACCTCACGTGTCGCTCCTGGGCACGAAGGCGGACGCGAGGGGGCTCCAGTCTCCGGCGAGCTTGTGCGCACCACACTTTGTAGGGTCGTTGCAGGAGGCGGCGGAGGGAGGGAGGGAAGAAGAGTGAGGAGGGAGGGGCGTCGAGGCTGCAGTAGGAGCGCGACCACAATATACCTTCCACCAGAAAGAAGCCCCAACCCTGAGACACCAGGACGTCGATATGATTTTTGGTGTGGGAACGTCACACTTTCCATCGCAAAACCATCAAAGCCAAGAAACCCAGGGCGCTCTGGAGGCAAGCAGGGTGTTTGTTGGCATGGGTTTCCACTGCGCGGGGGTCGGAAGACCGCACCGCATCGCCAACGCAACGGTGGTGCCTCTGCGACTTATGGATGGCACAACTCTGGCTCTGGATCGCGCCGCATCGCCGATGGACCCACCATGCGGCGCGAGTCTGGGGATCCCGCTTTTGCTCCCGCCCAATGCAGAAGGACCCCATAGGTTCCCTGAGGACTCCCACGGCCCCAAAAAGACTCCAGCACGTCAAAAACCTGGATTCTCGAACCCCGAAGCTGGATCCTCCACGACGCTCTTCAGCGGTGGACTGGTGATGCAGCGCGATCCTGTGACCCCGTCTGCCCAACCACACGTCCCAGGTCTTCATTTTTGTCGAATCTGGGGTCCCTGGAGGCCCCGATCCATTCTCCAAGGCGGGCTTCTCATTCTGAGCCGTCTTTTGACGCTCCAAGGCCCTCGGAGACCGAACACGGCAAAACGAAGCTGGCTCGATTGTTTCCCCGGGGACCGAACACGGCAAAACGAATCTGGCTTGACTCTTTTCTTGTCCAGAAAACGCTGGGTGTCCAGTCCTCTGGCCACAGCTCGGGTCTCCGGCGGCCGATCGAGGCGACGCGGGCCCCCCGCAGACCCCCGAACTCTTGGAGAGCACCCCGATCGGCTGGGAAACCTCCAGATGCCGGCGAAAACTGCAATTGCAACAAAACAACGCCGCCTTGCTTGTTTCAGTGCGGCGGATGCCTGGGCTGTGGGAAAACACACACACACACGTCTGTGGAAAAACAACACGCACGTCTGTGGAAACACAGATGCACGTGTGTGTTGTTCCACTGTGGATGTTTCCAGGTGTGTGTGTGTGTGTGTGTGTGTCTATGTGTTGTTCCACGTGTGTGTGTTGTGTTTTCCACAGTGTATTTGTTTCCACAGTGTGTGCGTGTGTATGTGTGTGTGTGTCTGTGTGTGTGTGTGTGTCTGCGTGTGTGTCCGTGTGTGTCTGTGTGTGCTGTGTGTGTGTCTGTGTGTGTGTGTCTGTGTGTGTCTGTGCCTGTGCCTGTGTCTGTGTGAGTGTCTGTGTGTCTGTGTGTCTGTGTGTCTGTGTGTCTGCGTCTGCGTCTTTGTCTGTGTCTGTCGTTGTCTGTGTCGTTGTCTGTGTCGTTGTCTGTGCCGTTGTCTGTGTCGTTGTCTGTGTCGTTGTCTGTGCCGTTGTCTGTGTCGTTGTCTGTGTCATGGTCTGTATCGGTGTCTGTGTCGTCTGTGGCTGTGGCTGTGGCTGTGGCCCTGTGGCGCTGTGGCTCTGAGGCCCTGTGGCCCTGTGGCACTGTGGCTCTGCGGCTCTGTGGCTCGGTGGCTCTGTGGCTCTGTGGCTCTGTGGCATCTGTGGCGCTGTGGCTCTGTGGAGCTGTGGCGCTGTGGCTCTGTGGCGCTGTGGCTCTGTGGCCCCCCGTGGCTCGGAGGCTCTGTGGCCCCGTGGCTCTGTGGCTCTGTGGCTCTGTGGCACTGTGGCTCTGTGGCCCCGTGGCTCTGTGGCTGTGTGGCTCTGTGGCTCTGTGGCCCCGTGGCTGTGTGGCTGTGTGGCTGCGTGGCTGTGTGGCTGTGTGGCCCGTGTGTCCGTGTGTCTGTGCGTCTGTGTGTCTATGTGTCTGTATATGTCTGCGTCTGTGTGTCTGTGTGTCTGTGTCTGTGTCGCTGTGGCGCTGTGTGGCTGTGTGGCTGTGTAGCTGTGTGTGGCTGTGTGTGGCTGTCTGTGGCTGTGTGTGGCTGTGTGTGGCTGTGTGTGGCTGTGTGTGTGGCTGTGTGTGTGGCTGTGTGTGTGGCTGTGTGTGTGTGGCTGTGTGTGTATGTGTGTGTCTGTGTGTCTGTGTGTGTCGGTGTGTAAACGTGCGCGTGTTTTGCACAGCCCCTTTCCGGAGTGCCCTGGTGCCCCGGAGCCTTAGCCTTGCCGAGCGCATCCACCTCGCTTGCCCGCATCTCCTTGCGCACGTCATCCGCCGCCGCGGCGCTGCCGCGGCAGGTTTCTCGAGGCACTGCTTCTTCCACGTCTTGTGGCGGGGCGCTTGCTGCCCCCTCCCCTGGGCAGCCTCTCGGACATCCGGCCTCCCCAGACGACGCCCCGCACGGAGTGTAAACAAACGGCAGAAGCATAACGGTGCGGAGGTCCATGTTTTGGATCGGCGCTAGACCCTGGTGGCGGCGCCTCCCGCGCCACCCCGAGCGCGCTCCGCGCGCCTGAAGGGCGCCGACGCCGATCCAAAAGATGCCCGCGGACCTCCGAAACGTATGTTTATGCAGCTGTCATTCTCCGACCGACGGTCCCAGATCCCTGACTGGCCCAGGACCAAAGGCACCCAAAGACTGCCGAGGTGCCTAAGAAACCCCGAGAGATCCCGACACGGCTCGTGGGACGCGTGCATGACGCCCCGTTGCCAGACAAGGCCGAAGGAAACAGCCATAGCCGTGCAACCACGGTGCGCTGCTGCTGCTGCAACGCCACAGCGCTGCTGCACAACCTCGCGGAAGCGGATATGCGCGCAAGCGCAGTCCGATAGTACTTCAGGAGCCAGTCACACTCGGTGTGGAGGGAGTGGATGTACTTCAGCGTGGCGGCGAGATCACGCTTGGCCTCCTTGAGACCGTCGCTGTGCATCTGAAGATCTCCCTCCATGTTGGCCTTCGCGCCCTCCTTGTCTGCCAGGGCCTTGGAGTCGGCCGCACGCTTCGCTGCGGACTCCTTCATGAGCTCCTCGTAGTCCGACTGCGAGTCCTTCTCGGACGTTTCGGCTTCGGTCATCTCCTTGTCGAGGTCCTTTGCGGACGCAAGCACACATGCATGAGACTTAGATCCGCCACTCGGTCTTCAGTAATTTGGGGGCGCGTTGTCTGCTTGTCTGCTGTCTGGCAAAGTTTGTGGTCGTGCTTTCTACGGCCGACATGCCCCTCCCCGTCAGGGCGCGTGTACTCTGAAAGCGCGCCCCCGAGTCTTGCTCTCCCGCGCCAGCTTCGTCTTCTAGACGACCCCAGCAGAGCCAACGACCAATTCAGAATATCTGCAAAACGCACTAAGACCGTAAGAAGCTGGCCCCACGAATCCGCAAAGGCTACAGGATCTTCCCAACATGACCCGAGAGACCCGCATTGCTTGGCGTTGCTTTGCCTTGCGTTGCACTGCTTGGCAACCCCGAGGACCCCCCAGGCAAAGCCAGGGGGCGAAACAGCCCGAGGAACTGGGCAATGAACCCAGGCGATGGCGAAGGCCGCCTCGGAATTGACGCGCCGCACGCCAGCCGACTTCTTTCACAAACCAAGTAGGAGCCCCTTGGAAAAAGCCGAATTGAGCGACGAAGTGAAGTGGGTCTTACGCGAGATGGTATAGCGACCTTACGCGGCGGCTTACGCGGGCCGCCATCGTGGTACGCTACACTGGAAACGAGCGGGCTTATGCGCAACCTTACGCGAGCAACTTACGCGCAACCGTCCGTGGAGACGAACCCGTTTGCCTTAGTCGCTCAATTGGAGAAAAAGAAGAGCCACTGAAACTAACGATCTCTTGTTTGCCCCGAGACCTTTCGGTTTCAGATTGCCTCGGGAAAGCTCTAGAGGGCCCCGAGAAGCACCCCGAGGAGGGTCTGAGAATAGACCCCCCAGATGGCCCCACGACTGCCCGAGAACCCTCCGAGGCAGCCAGAGGGGGCCCCAAATCTGCCTCTCGCCATCGCTCGGACGTCCATTCCCCGTGCACTTTTCCATGTCGTGCGTTTTTCGATAGATGGTCAAAGATGCTCGTCGTTGGCCCCCGCGAGAAGACGTGCACACGTCCGAGCGACGCCACGGCCTCAGGACATGCCCAGACGCCCCCAACGATAGCTCGGTCGAGCCGGGAAGAGCTCGGCAGAATCGCTGCACCGGAGCCGGCCTCGGGACGCCCCCCCCCCAAAGAAGTCCCGAGCGGGCCCAAACGGACATCGAATGCGCCGGCCTCCTAAACTTGTTGGCTTCTGATCGGCTCGGGAACGCTTCACGGAGCCCCAAAAGGAGACCCCAACACGACCCGAGACGGCGTCGAGAGTGCAAGCAGACAGCCCCCCAGACTGCCTGAGAACGCCCCACAATAGCCCAAGAAGGCTCTAAGACAGCCCCAAGACCTGCAATGACTCCCCGAAGATTGTTCAATCGAGCCTCTTCGGGAGAGCTCTGTGGAACCGCCCCGAAACCCCTGACGGCCCCCAACGGGTCTCCGAGAGGCTCCTGAGAGGGCCCAAGACGCGCTCAAGAGAGACCAAAGGAGCCCCCAAGAAGCGTAGCCCCAAAATCCCCCCAAGAGGGACCCAAGAAAGACCCAAGCGGTTCCCAATATAGAAGCCCAAGGGAAGCCCCGAGACGGGGGGGGATGGGGAAGAAAGAATGATGACGATATCAAGGCTAGGGACAAGAAGAAAGCGTCTGAGACCTGCGCCAATTCAGACAAGCAAGTGAACTGGAGCGGGTCTTCAGCACCACCTACATCTCATAATCCTCAATGCAATTCGTCTCCTACTCGTCTGTCTCCTTTCGCTTTCTCGTAGAGTGGAGCGGAAAGTCTTGCGAGGAAGAAAAGGAGGAGGTGGAACTTAAGACCTGCGCCAGTTCGGAGCTCGGGGCGGAGTAGAGGGGGGAAAACGGATGAGAAAGTCAGATGGGAACGAGGCTGCGAGCAGGAGTCTGCAGACAGGGTGAAGGCACTCAAGCCCTGCGCGAGGTCTCCCAGGGCGCTGACCTGAAGCGGGTCGTCAACTCTTGCTGCGCTGCTGCGCCGGCTCGGTGGCGGGATCTGCCGCGGACAGCTGGATCCTCGACGAGTGGCCACTTTGCGGCCTGGGGAGAGCTGCGCCCGTCGCAGGCCAGCGCGCCACAACCGGAGATGGGGGAGGGGGCGGGAAGAGCACCAGCGGCCGCCGAGTGCGCACCTACGACTTGCCTCCGCGGCCAAGCCGAAGGATCTCTGGCGGCAAAGCGCGGCCACTCGAACCTCTTCCCCACCCTTTGTGCTGCTCGCAGAGATGCGGCCGGACCTAAGAGAGAAGAACATCACTCAAGAACATGAGCCCCTCCGCCGGCCAAACTAAAGAAATACTCGAAGGGTACCCTTCCCCAGGATGCACAAGAACATCCAACAAGCTGAAGCACATTCGAGGGCACCCTCCCCGAACCGACCTCCACCCCTCGGTACGACCGTAGCCCCCCCTGGAGGAGGGGGAGAGAGACACCCACGCAGTGGCCAAATGTGCACACCGCCACCATCCCTGGCCATGGAGCCATCCTGGGCCCCCGCCCGGCGCATGCGCCCCCCCTGGCCGAGGCCGCGCGGGCCACAGAGCCCAGGACGGCCCCGGCCAGGGACGGCCTGAGCCGCCGCCCTTCTGAGGGCCGAGGGGAGAAAGAGGCTGAGGAGGAGGAGGAGGAGGAGGACCAGTGGAAACCCAACAGTCATCGACGATGTTAGAATAAACCCTCCCTCCAAACTCCCTCTTCATAGGCCCCTACAACGGTTCAGTTCCACTGAGGGAACTGCCTCGTTGGAAGACAACCGCATGAAGGCCCTGAAGCATGCCAAAACAATGCTCTCGGGATTCCAACGCCACGGATCAACCTGACTGTTGCGTCTTGGCGATCTTGAACCGTGCCAGAACACCATTCCTGAGACTTCACCACAGCGAATCAACGTAATTGTTGCGCCCTCATAATCCTGAATCCTTCCAAAAAAACATCATTGTTTGTACGCTGATCATGGGAATCCATGAAACTCTTGTAAATGTTTCGAAAGAATGTGCGCGGCGCTGCGGCGAGAGCCACATTTTGAACAAGAACCACCCTGAATCCGTGAAACGATTGCAAATTGTTAAGACGAATTTGCGCGGCGCTGCGGCGAGAGCCACATGTGGAAAACAACCCGCCCTCAATCCGTGAAACTCTGGCACATATTTAAAGCGAATGTGTATGGTGCTGAAGAATGAGCCACACTTTGAAAACGAACCGCCCTCAATCCGTGAATATCTTGCAAATGTTTAAAACGAATGTGCGCGGCGCTGAGGCGAGAACCACATTTTGAAGACCACCCGCCCTCAATCCGTGAAACTCTTGCACATGTTCAAAACGAATATGCGCTGCGCTAAGGCGAGAACCACATTTTGAAAACCACCCGCCCTCAATCCGTGAAAGCTTCAGGGTCATGAATGGCGAGTAATCGGGGATCTTCTGACCCGGGTCAATCCAGACCCGGGTCAGCAGGAAACCAAATCACTGCAATGCAGGAAAAAAACTGCAACGCAGGTCTTCCCAAATCCGGGTCAGCCAATATGCGGCCACCTCGCGGCCACGAACGGCTCGCTAACCTGGGTCAAACCCCCGTCTCTTGAGCCCCGAAGTAAGTCTCATGCGAAACGCCCGGCCCGCCCTAAAAGCTGGCCCCGGGGTGCGACAGGGAGAAGTTACTTATAAGGACAAAGAAAGGAGGAGGAGGAGAAGGAAGTGCACCAGGTCTGCCGCGATCGCTCCTTAATGAGCAGCTTGATCATCTGCACAACGCCGCCGTGCTCCTGTCGACAAGGGGCGTGAAGGTGGGGCAGGGCCAGAGGTGGGGCCAGAGGACCTCCACTCTGGACGGCCCTTGGAGAGAGCAATCTACCCGCCTCGGGCCAGGCTGTCTCCCCAACACCACCTCGGGCTAAGCCCCCTTTCCCTGACTCCCGCTCCTGGCCCTTCTTCTGGTACGCACCGAACGTCTCTGGAGGGGGCGGAGGTGCCTCCACGAAGCGGCGGTGCTCGGAGACCTGAACCAAGGATGCGGCGCCGCCAACGTCCTGGGAGATGGCGTCCATGGTCGAGCGCTCCACTTTGGCAGGCGCCTTGTACATTCGGGGGTTGTAAAACTGATTCAGCCTGTTCACGGCCATCTCCAGCAGCTCCTTGGCGGCGCTGTTCGAAGACATGAGCTCCTTGAATTCGGCGTTCTCGTCCTTGCGCTGCTCTGTCGCCGTCGCGACTTCGGAATCGAGCGTCTTGATGGCCTTGTTCAACGCCGCGATCTCGTCGGTCAACGTAGAGATGCCTTCCTTGGCTGCGGTGATACTGGCTTCAGTGTCGGAGATCGTCTTTTCGATTGACTTCTTCTTGTCGTCGGATGTGTCAAGCTCGCTAGAGCAGTACTCCTTCTTGGAGTCGTCATCTGCTTGCTCTTTTTTCAAAGTCGATACCATTTCGTCGATCATGCCGATGACTTTCTCGAAACCGATCTTCTTTCCCTCGAGGGCGAGCATGATGAACTTCATCGGCAAGCCGTTGCCGCGATCGTCGTCGCGGACCACTCGTTGAATCATGGAGTAGGCACGCTGCCTCTGCGCAACAGATGCCTCGTCTACCTGCACGAAACTTGATCCGACCGTCTTCTTGAATCCACCATGGCCCCCGCGCACCTGGAGGCATGTTGGAGTGCCTACCAGCTGTCTGGTATGCAGGCGCTCTGGTAGTCTGATCCGGGCGATCCACCTGCCTCGATGCGCCTCCCACTCCTTGATCTGTCGCAGACGACCTTCTGCGAAGATCGTCTACCCCAGAGTCTGCTCTCCGGGCGTCTCCCTCCCTCCCTCCCTTCCCTCCCTCCCTCCCTCCTCCCTTCGTCTCTCCCTCCCTCCCTCCCTCCCTCCCTCCCTTCCTCCCTCCCTCCCTCCCTCCCTCCCTCCCTCCCCTACCTCCCTCCCTCCCTCCCTCCCCTGCCGGCCTCCGGGCGGCTCCACACGACAGCGGGCCGCCCCCCCCAGGCGGCTGCCCGAAAGAGTGCACAACGGGCAGTGAGAACGCCCGCGGGACGCTCACGGTAGACTTTTTACGTGCTCGGCCCTGGACCCTTCGCAACCCACCGCTCTCCCGGGCGGTCTTCGGCGGTCTTCGGCGGTCCTCGGGCGGTCCTCGGGCGGTCTTCGGCGGCCTTCTGACGGTCTTCGGCGGTCTTCGGCGGTCCTCGGGCGGTCCTCGGGCGGTCTTCGGCGGTCTTCGGCCGTCTTCTGACGGTCTTCGGCGGTCTTCGGCGGTCTTCGGGCGGACTTCGGGCGGTCTTCGGCGGTCTGCGGTGGTCTTTGGCGGTCTTCGGCGCCAACGCTGAGCGGTTGCGGTCAGCGAGGGGTACATGATCGAACAGCTGCATGAGTTCCCTCCGAGACCATGCAGCTTGAGATCGCAGCGGGGATGTGCAGGAAGCCGCACTGGGGCCCCCAAGACGGCTCTGAAAAGGCCACGGGGCCGCACCACCACGGCCCGACGAGAAAGACGCCCAATACTACCCCCAGAGGGTTCCGACACGGCCCAAGGGACGCCCAGGCGGCCCCGAGGTGGTTCGACCGAGCCTCTTCGGGGGAGCTTGGTGGAATCATCGCGTCCGATGTGTCACACTCTGAGGGCGAGGCGCGGCCAGCGAAAGCAGCCAAGGATGGGCCGAAGGGGAAGGATGCAAGGATGACCTTGGACAAATATTCATCCTTACTATGCGGGTTGACTGTAGGCCCCCATCAGGTCCCCATCGGGCACCGAAGCGAGTCCCAGGCCTCCAAGAGTCTCGAAAGAAGGCTCCAACAAGCGACTGAAATCCCTCAAGAGGCGACGCAACAACCACACGACGCCGCGGAGCTGCCCCGACGGCCTCGTGCTGGTTTCCTCAAGCCTGTCCAAAGAAATCGAAAGAAGCATCTCGAATGCATGTCAATGCTGCGCAGACACTGCGATCGGGTTTGCCGCAGGCAGCCCAATAGCTCCAACGCATCGTCGTCGTTGAGGATCTTGATGGTCTCGGCCAACGCAAGAAGCTCATCAGCGCGCGTTTTGCAACGAGCATCCCATTCGGCCTGTTTGGTGGCACAGCTCTTATCGAGATTGGCCAAGAACTGCTTGTCCTCTGCCAGCGCCTCAGCAGTGTCGCCCTGAAGGTCACTCGCTTTATCACAAGTATGTGAGCGATTCGCGCACCTAGATGACCAGCATGTCAAACGTAAGAAATTGCTCAATCGTGAATTCAAGCGTGAAACGCACAGACAATGTGAAAGCCAAACGCACATTCAACGTCGAAGGGAACTTGGAACACATTACAAACAGCATCGAACGTGCATGGTTTGCAAGTCCAAAGGGCAAGTGCTCGTGTTGAAAATCACGACACCTCCGCAGCGAAACGCGGAAGTGGGACAAACAATTCCGAATCATCGCGCGCAGAATAAGTACGGAATGGCAAACGCACTGCGCATGGAGTTTACACCTGCATGTGTATGCATGTGTACATATATCGACGTAACGTACAGCTATATATGCAGCGTATGTACATACATAAGACAATAAGCATGTAACAAAGAATTCAAATTCCTCCCGTCTTCCTCCTCCTCCTTCCCGCTTGCCACGAGCACGCCACCACACACAGTTCCAGTGATAGAAGATAGGCCGGCGGAATAAGCGAAGCGAATAGATAACAGTTCACATTCTGGGCGGTCGAACACCAGAAAATCATCAAGGGCTTTTTCTCATACAAACAAATGACCTCCACATTGCACATTCTCAACTGTCATGCGATTCAAAGTGTCGCCAGGCAAACCGGGAGCAACCCACGAGCTACATATCATCAAGGATGGCTCCAATGTGGCTCAAAACTGCATCCCAGACTGTCCTAGATGGCCCGGGGCTGGACCTAAACGGTGTTTTTGGTGATTTCGTAGGCCGTTTTCGTTTCGACTTCGTTTTGCGGTAAAGGCGGATTCGAGACAAAAGCGAGGGAAAACGAAAACAAAACGGAAACGAAAAACACCGCTTAGGTTCAGCCCTGGGATGGCCAACGATGGCTTCTATCATGGCCCCATCTGGTCCCGAAGTATTATCTCCACGATGGCCGCCGCACCTCCCAGTGAAGCCCTCAAGCAACACACATCACCAAACAACTGATAATATCTGAATGATGTATCACCCACTTCCTGCTTAGATGGGATTCAGACGGCCACAAGGTGGCTCAAGAGGGAGCCAATGAAGCAAAGCTTTACAATTGACACTGAGCTTCCACGTGAATGAGCTCCTGGTCGTTGATCATCTGCGCGATGGACACGGCCAGCTCGCCCGACTTCTGGATCTTGTCCTCGATCATCTTTGTGAGGGCGTCCGACTCCTGCTTCTTGGCGGCCATGAGCTCGTTGAATATGTGGATTGCCTTCTCCTCCTCGTGGGTGGCCTCCGCGAGAGCCGTGGCCATTTGGTCACCGAGCTGCTTGAGCAGGCCCACAACCGAACCCGAGGACCCGGCGTAGCCCTGGCTGAAGGGGCCCGAGCCAGAGAGGAACGCGAGCAGCTCCTGCGGGAGGGCGGAGCGGGGCTCGACCAAAGCAGTGTTTCTCGTTTTCGTTTTGTTATCGTGTTCCCTCGTTTTGTCGCCGATCCGCCTCTGCTGCAAAACAACATCGGAACGAAAACGGCCTACGGAATCGCCAAAACACCGTCCAGGTCGACCTTTGGGGCTGAAGGCGCACACAAGCGCAAAAGCTCCGCACGCCCGCGGGGCGGGAGGGCCAGAAGAAGGCAAACCAAACACTGCATCCACAGTTAGACTCTCGGATCTCCGCGCGGACGTCTTGCGACGGCGCTGGACCCCCTGGCCGCTGGCGCTGCCCCTGGCGCGCTCCACGCGCCAGGGAGGGGGGCCCCGCGCCGCTCCAGGCACCCCGCGCGGACCTCGGAAAGTTCGCGCGACCAATCGTGTCAGCGCCGGTGCTCTGCGGAGATCTCCGCACGGCGCGCCACCGTCGGCCCCGGTCCGAGCGCCCGCTCGGGTGCGCCCAGGGGGGCTGGGGGACGAGGGGACGGGGTGCGCAGCATTCGGCGGCCAGCCCGGGGGGGAAGTGAGAAGAGGCGGGCGTCCCCAGAGCGCTCAGAAGTCCCCCAGCCTTCTGAGAAGTTGCCGAAGCCATCCCCGAGGGCACAGGCTCGGAAGGCGCAAAGGGCTTCTGCAAAGTCCCGCCGCCTTCCGAGAAGGCCTTGGCCTTCTCACTGCCCCCCATCGCTCGCCGCCGCATCATGGCACGAGGCAGGTGCGCGGACGAGGGGGGGCAGGGAACGCGCCGGAAGGAGGAGAAGACGAGGGAGCCATGGAAGCTGGGAGATCTCGTGGCCACGGCCATCCCATCCACACACCCCTGGTCCTGGCCCAACTCTCAGCGTCCCCGATGCACAAAGAGGGGGTCCTCCGTGAGGGCTCGGCGACTCTTCTCCAATCGGCTTGTCGTGGGAAGCCTGGGCAACATGAGGCATATCAGCGGAATTTGCCGGGTGAAGATCCAGATAGATCAAAGTAAAACCAATGAAAATGCAAGCCTGGTGAGATCATGGAAGCCCGGGGCCTTAAGGAGCTCCAAGCGTGGAGGCCTTCCACATGGGGCCAGAGGTCGGCGCGATCCTCCGACCCCACCTGCGCCGGAACCACCTGGGAGGCGAGCGGTTCAGGATGGGGTCCCGAAGGATGGGGTCCTGAAGACGAGGTGCCTCAAACCACGCAACTCCGCCCACGGATCCCTTCCTATGCTTGGGACCCCATCCCACAGGACCCCATCCGTGAGCCACCGATGGAGGGGAGGGGGGGTGCAAGCGCCCGCTCAGCTCTGCCGCCGGCGGGCGTCCGAGGCTCGCGTGCCCGTGCTTCTGCAGGCCTCCCGGGGCTCCTCGCGGTCGTCGTCGGCCAGGTTGCTCTTCACGTTGGAGACGACCCGCTTCAGGACGTTGGCGGCTCCGGTCTGCATGAAGGCGCCCGCCAGGCCCTTCTCGAGCGCGGCCACGGCCTTCATGCATGCACCGATGTTCGCGACATAGTCAGCCTAGGGCGCAAACTCTAACGGCACCTGCTTCTTTTTCCTTGTCCTCCTCCTCCTCGCCTCCTCCTCCTCCTCCTCCCCCTCCTCCTGATCCAGCTGCTCCTCATTCTCATCCCTCCTCCCTCCTTCCTCCTGCTCCGCCTCCTCCACCTCCTGCTCCGCCCTGACTCCTCCTCCACCTTCCATGCATCCCTTTTCCGTACAGATGACTCATCCTGGTGGCACCCCCAGACGTGTCGGTTGTGGGCCAGGCGTTTCGCCTGGGACTTCTCCAACATTTATGATCCTGAACCTTGAAATTTGCAAACAGATTCACAGGAAAGAGGAGGGGACGGTTTTCAAAATGTGGCTCTCGACGCAGCGCCGCGCTCATTCGCCTCCAACGTTTACAACAAGTTCACGGATATGGCGCAACGTACATTCGTCTCAAACGTTTGCGTCAGCTTCAGGGATGGAAGGGGGGACGGTTTTCAAAATGTGGCTCTCGCCGCAACGCCGCGCTCATTCGTCTCCAAAGTTTGCGACAATTTCACTGATGGAGGGTGTTTCCCTGTCAGAATGTGGCTCTCGCCGCAAAGCCGCGCACGTTCGTTTTAAACATTCGCAACTGGTTTGCGGATGGAGGGCGGCTCCTGTTCTAAACGTGGTTCTCGCAATAGCGCCGCGCACATTCGTCCGCAAAGGGCGCAGTAGCTTCATGGATGGAGGGCATTTCCTTTTTCATAATGTGGCTCTCGCTACGGCGCCACGCACAGTCGTCTCAAATGTTTGCAGCAAGCTCAGGGATGGACGAGGGGCCGTTCTCAAAATGCTGCTCTCGCCGCAGAGCCGCGCTCACTCGTCTGAAAAAGCTTGCACGAACTTCCTGAACAAAGGGCAGTTCCTTCTCAAAGTGGTGCTCTCGCGCTAGCGCCGCGAAGATTCATCTCACAATCGTGCAACCTGGTAAGGATTGAGCAGTGGTCGTTCTCACCATGGGGATCTCGCACTCGTGCTTGAATGCGACATTTAGCAGGATAGAGGACGGCTCTCTCTGAAGCTTGAATTATCGCCTGAGAACTACTAAGCTCAATGACCCAGAACTGTCGCGACCGTAGGTCTGCACGGATCCATTGTGACTATGTTTCAAAAGGAGGTGTCCGTTGAACCCTAAATCATGACAACAAGTGCACATGTGTGCAACTGCAACTGATGCCCGGATGGATGGTCCTTCGAAAAGAGGATCTCGCTGGGCACCTCGCTGAGGTGTGTGATCACAGTTTCGCGCTCTTGGTTACGCGCCACAAAAATAAAAGGGTAGCTCCTTCTCAAGGCGGCCCCCTGGCTAACATGGCAGGTCCAACTGCTCTGGTAGTTCAAGGGCGGCGTTCCTTGTAGTGAAAAGGAGGATCTGTGGGGGGCATGAGGGGAGTAGAGACGGGAGAGCGTATTCCAGCATCACGTATGCATCTTACTCTGGTCCTCCTTCTCCTCAACCCTTCTCCTACTCCTCCTCCTCCTCCTCCTCCTCCTTGTCCCTCCTCCTCCTGCAAAGCAGCTGGCCTGGAGAGACGCGAACTCCGACGCCTCCTTTTCCCTCTTCGCAGAGGCCTCGGCCATGGTGGTCTTGGCATCCTTGGGAAGCAAGAAGACAAAGACAACGCTTTCTGCCTACCACACCCTGGTAGCAGCACAAGGACGAAGAGGAGGGTCGGCAAGCAAGATTGGAGTGGATGAGAACCAGGACCATGACCAAAATTGACCGCGGACATGTCGTATCGATCTTGAACACCGTCCATCTCTGTCAGCGTCGATTCGTGGATCATTCTCGCTAAACGGCCACGGCCAGCGTGGACCAGGCCCAAGATCGGCGTCGACAAGATCCCACGACATCTTGGTCATGGTCAGGGCGACCGTGCCATGAAGCGCCTGGTCGCTGGAGGAAGCGGGGTCCTGGACCGCGGGGCTCCCTCCGGGGTAGGGCTTGTCATCCCGAGCAGTGCGGACGGCCCCGTGGCCCGCAAGGGCCCGGGGAACAAGGGAACAGCGCAAAGGCTCCAAGACACCTCCTCCTCCTCCTCCTCCTCCTCCGCCTCCTC